GAAAGAGAGAGGGCACATGAGAGAAAGTGGGTCTATTACTGTGAAAGAGAGAAAATATACTGTCTTACAACATGATGTCCCTACTGAAGAAGGCCACTTTGTCTCTAAAATTCATTGTAGGTTAATATGCCCTGAACATTGTCACCGGTTTTCTCTTGGTATTGCTGCCACTTCACAGACTCCTTCTGGTGGGATGTTTTTATTATGCATAGCTGAACCTCACTATGTAATTGCATCCTGCCTCTGACTGTTCCTCTTGATTAGTGAAGAACAAGGATTGGAAAGGACCGTGTGGGTCACTAAGTACAATCCTTAGCAGTTTCAGGAAATTGTGCTATAGACATAAATGTAAAGTGGTGAATGGTTCCAGAACTTGTGCCTTTCCGTATATGTCTTCCAAACAACCTCCAGCTACCTAGCAAGGGAATTTTTAACCCCAAAGACCAATGACTGTTGTATGACTGAGGCCTAGCTATAAAAAATGCAAAACTAGACACTATGGCAAAAGCAGTGCTGGACAACTACTCTGCCCTCCAAAGCAGAGTCTAAAAGTTCCTGGGTGTTCATGGACTGAATGCTCCAAACACAGAGCAGCACAGAGTGCTCACGGTTAAACAGGAGAGACCACAGTTATCAGTGGTTGCTGGTTGTTCCAACCTGTCCATCCAACAGGACTGTGGAGTTGAGAGGGCATTAAAAAAGGGAAGAAAGAAGTGTAACTTGATTAATCCTTCCCAAAACACCCAAGGATGCCAACGGTTCCCTAGAGGTCCTCTGGGACACAGGGTCCTGCGGTATCAACAACCTTAGGGTCACTGCTGCTTGCAAATGGCTTTTCTGGTGCTCATGCTGTGGCCTTGCTGCTGTCTTCAGCAAATAAGGAGATATAGCAATGGGAAAATAAGTGATATTGCTATGAAATCACTGGTTACAATCATGCTTGAAAAATGCTCTTAACTATCTGCGATATAAAAAGCAAGTCTATTGCAAAATATGGATGTGTTTCAGACTTAATGAGCCTTCCCTGTGCAGAAGAGTCTGGGTTGCAGGAACAAGTTTAATACAGGTCAAGTTAGACTTCAGCTTTGGTCTGAGAGCTCCCCAAAGTTTTTAGCTTGGCTAGTGAGAAGGTCAAACACAAAATGTTGTCACTGCTTTGGACCTGGGCTGGTTATTTCCAACACATGCACAAAGCCCTGTCGCTCTTAATGCTGCTGGTATGGGTGAAGGTGAGAAGAGGACTTCTTTGCTGAAAGGTCTTTATTCCTTCCTCATCCCAAAAACTTCTTGGTCATGGTGACTCTGTAAACCTTTCTCTAGTGGGTCCTTGCTTTCTCTGACTCCTTCAGTGACATTTCCTACCCTTCTCATATATCTCTGTCCTCTTCTGGGCTGATAGGATGAGATTTGCTTGGAGGTGATGGACAGCATCACCTCTGCCTGCATAGGATGCTCATGGACCAGGTTGAAAATTACACTATGCATCTGCTCAGCTTTCTCCTGCTCCCTCTATCCACTTCCCCTGCCTTAATGCAGGAATGGGTTCTTGAACCTTCCCGCTTGGCTCTGACAAAGACCCTGGCTGGGTGTTTGCATTTGGCCATATGGAGACCCTTCTGCTCACACCACCAGGTCCTGGTATTGCCTTGCTGGGTGTTTCAAGTGACTCCCACAGTTTAAGCTATTTCAGCTCAGGCAGGAACATTTCAGCCTCTGCAAAACACCCTAACAAAGTGTGACTCTTGCATCCACCAGTTTACCCAGTTGCTGGTAAAACAATAGCTTTGCGGTTCATTTGTACTGCCCTCCTGATAAGAAAAGTTGTTGTGGTTCGACCCCAGCCAGCAGCTAAGTATTACTCCCCATCCCTCAGTAGGGTGGAGTGGAGAGTTGGAAAAAGGTAAAACTTGTGAGTTGAGATAAGAACAGTTTGCTAATGGAAATAAAGTAAAATATAATAATAACAACAACAATAACAACAGTAGTAGTAGTAGTAGTAGTAGTAGTAGTAGTAGTAGTAGTAGTAGTAGTAGTAGTAGTAGTAGTAGTAGTAGTAGCAATAGTAGTAATAATAGTGAGAGAGAGCAATAAACCCCAGGAAAACCAAAGGATGCACAATTGCTCATCACCCGCTGACTGAACCCCAGCCCATCCCGCAGCAGCGATTGTCTCCTCCCAATCAACTTCTCCCAGTTTATATACTGGGCATGATGTTCTATGGTATGAAATATCCCTTTGGCCATTTTGAGTCAGTTGTCTTGGCCTTGCTCCCTCCTGGTTTCTTGTGCATGAGACACTAAAAAGTCCTTGACTTTTGGTAAACATCACTTAGCCATAACCAAAATATCAGTGTATTATCAACATGATTCTCCTACTAATCCAAACCACAGCACTGAACCAGCTACTAGCAAGAAAACTAACTCTATCCCAGTCAAAACCAGGACAAAGGTAAAACTTAGTTTTGTGTATTTGGGGAAACTTCAAGGCAGACCACAAAGTGATGGGTCCCCACACTTCAGAGTGATTGAGTGGGTTGTTTAGCTTCTGCAGTTTCTTTAATAAACACTCCATAGTGTCAGCCAGCAATTTAATGTCAGAGCTTTGTACTCTGACATGCTCATTGCCAATAAAAAGCACTTTTCAGAAAAAATCACTTTGTTAATGTCTTTCTAACTTACTGAGAAGACAAAGCGACTTGTGTCCTGACCTTGTCCTGCACACCTCAAACCTGACCTAAACACAGGAACACAGTGTCTGGGCAAATGAAGAAAAAAAAAGAAAACACTAAGTAATCAGTCTCTCTGTCTTACCTTTACCTCATCCAGCTAAGTGCTCTGAACCTCAGAGGAGGGTCATCTGCCTATGCTCCTTTTCTTAGTTCTGGAGCTTCTGTTCCATCTTGTTACAAAGCCAGGCAGCAAGAGACGGAACAAGATGTGGGGTTTGACTGAGCTTAAGTAATTTGGGAGAAAAATAAACAGGACCTTGGAAAACGAAGACAGTCTATAATGACATAAAACTTTCTGAACATCTGGCAGACCTTCCAAAGTGGGAACCAAATCCTGAGGCATTTGGGGCCAGCTGATGGTGGTTTTTTACTCATGTTCCATGAAGATTAAAACTATTGGAAATAGTTGATTTGTTTACTATTATTTTTAATGAAAATGTTTGTAAACTTGTTTGGTTTAAAAGGTTATTTCATTCGGTTGATTATGTTGTTCTAAGCCTGTGATATCCTAAGGTTTAACAACCACACTGTGTCGTCACAATTTTATATTCATAATGAATTTTTGCATGCTAATAAAATACCAGTGCTTCAGCTTCCAGAAACCTCAAGGCAAATATTTTATTACATCATGAAATTAATTTTTATTGCCCTTCTGTTCTGTGAAGCAGGAACACAAAGCAATATGAAAAAAAATCAACCAAAGTGGCCTTTTCAACAGCTTCACATCCAGAATTTGTTTGTTAATCTCTAAGGAGATATGCTCCTCAGATTGATGATCAAAGCTGAGGGGGTAATGACACATTGTACAGACTGAGGCTATTGAAAAAATGTCCCTGGTAAGGAAGCATTAACCATTATGGGACCTCACAGACCATCTTGCTGACTTGCTCAGAATCACAATGGAGTTTCTGCCTCACAAGCTCGCAGGAGATGTATATGTTAGTGCCTGCTTTTGTGCCTGCTCACAGTGAGAGCTGACCAAATGCTGCACTACTTGTTGGAACAGTGGAGTTGGAGCCCTGCTGTAACATCTGCTGGAGTTTTGTGATCTGACAGCTGCAGTGAAAATGCTGAATTATTTGGTTTAAAAGAACTGCTTGTGGTTTATCCTCCCTGTTTTCAGGAGGACAGGAAATGTCAGCCAGAGAAATACATCCACAGGCATCAAAGCCGTGCTGGCATTTCACAGACGGTGGTCAGGGGATGTTGCAGCTCTTAGGGACATCTAACTGGGTGTGGCATGGACAGACGGCTCAAAAAACCAGCCGGATGCTGCCAGGAGGTGATGTCTGGCGGCTGTGGCAGACCGGGAGCTCCCGCACTCCCAGATGTGGGCATGTGCTGCCAGGTGAACTGGCCATTTGTGTAGCTATATGCTCCTATTTATGTAGCCATTTGCCACAGACTGTGGCTCTATAGGCAGAAGAGAGCATGTGTTTGCAGCATATGAACAATTAGACGTCTCTGCATGCAAATGGGAGCTCTGTGCGTCCTGCACTGCAAACATGGCAATTTGTGTGTGCTCACGTGTGTCCTGTCAATGTTTGTTTAATGCTTCAGTTGCACTCACTTTTTCACTTATGGTTTGTATTTTAATGTGCAGGCACTTGTCAAAGTGTATCCACTTAGCAAACATCTGGCCTTGCTGGTTTTTTAAACGAAACACACATTTTAACAACATCTGACTTCTCAGCCAGTACTGAGAAAATGAATAGATCCAATAACCTTTCCTTTTCTCCCATGCAAGGCTGGCTGGTCCTTCTTCCCTAGAACACCCTCTTCTGTGTGCCCTACCTGGGTCTGGAGGTTGCGGCAGTTGGACCCAGCCAGCACCTTGCTTCACAGAAGAGTGCTAGGTGCTTCATAAAACCTGCAGGAGCCCTGAAGCTCACCCATGGCCTTTGAAATTATGAGCTTCTAAGGTCAATTGATTGAACATGGGAAGCCTGACTCTTCTTCAATAGAAGAAGGTACTTTTATTTGTTCAGCAGACCTTTAAAGGCTCACCTCAAATTAAGAATTTAGTTAAGGATTTAAATTAAGCGAAGATTTAATCAGTACAGTTATGCATTACCAGACAAGTATCAGGGTTGAGGCAATTTGCTTTGTCAGGTTAGTATTTGTACCAGTTAATGGGGAGTAAAGTGGCATTAATGAACAAACACAAGATCCAGTGAAAGTCAATCAGGGAGCCTTCGTTAGACAATCAAAATCTCTCTCTCTTTGCTCAGTGTGACGTAAGACCACCTGGCCTTCAACTCTTTCTTTACAGATTCCTAAAGGATTAAATAACTGAAACTTTCACAGCCTTGTGCTCACCATCATGAGCTTATGTGCCAGAGATGATCCTGATACACTGTCTTCACACACTAAGATAGGGTAAGTGATATAAGAGTAAACTTCTTCATCTCAAGCTGCTGCTATCAGGAGCAGCTCCCAGCTACCCCGAATGGTTCAGCATGCCCATTTCCAGGTCTCTTCTGTTTTTTTTTTTTCTCCAAGCTAGTGGTTTCCTCTCAAAGGACTCTGGAGGAGGACTTGCTGCTTCTCACTCCAGCATCACTGCCCATCTGGGGGGACCAGGTCGTGGGTGCTTACCATATGAATGGTGACATGACTATGGACTTTGAACTCCAACACCAGCACAGCCCAGTTTCAAACTCTTCTTCCTGGGAATGCTCATGTGTGCAGCCTTGAAACACTGCCTTTACAAGGCTGAGTGCTGATAAAAGCCTGTCATATGAATATGCAAGACAGCAAGTACCAAGAGAGGTTGCTGGCCAAATTCATTAAAATCTGTGAGTGACTGCATCTGGGAATGTTTTGGCAGAGCTCATCCAGCTCTCCAACTTATTAATCCTTCCAGCACAATCATTAGATGTGGAGTTAGGGAGGTGCTGATGATTTGTTTTATCACCATTTAACAGTCAGATGAACTTTGCCAATGTTACACTGATCTAAGACCTCATCACATGCAGTTTAAGAGAGCCAGATGAAGAGCTTCTGCTGGAACATGATCTGGCTACCTCCCCTGATGCAGAGAAGACATCTAGGTTTCCCTACTGCTAGAGATGCTCTCCTTTCTCCTCTCCTGTGTTGCTGGAGAGGACCCTGGTAACCAGTCTTCTCACTCAGGAGTCCCTGTCCTGCACCTGCAATTATCTGAGAAGACTCTGGGTCAAAACAAGCATTATCAGCTGGATTGTCGCTCTCTGAAGTGCACTTTAAAGGAAGGGTGAAGGAATGAAAATCCTGGTCCAGGATTTTCCAGGATGAAAATAGCCCAAGATGGCTACTATGGATGGATGGTGTAGGAGTCTTTATAGACATTGTGCAGAATAGTTCTTGGAGGAGTCTGGAAGAGACTGAGCTCTGGGCGAGTGGCAGGTGCTGGGAACAGGAATCAGTTGCCCCGATAAGATGCATTAACTGGTTTTACAGACATTTCCAGGAGATGAGAGCTTTGTGAGTGTGAGAGCTTTTTGAGTGTAAGACAGACATTTGCAGTTCACCTGCATGAAGGCCTTTTCAGCATCAGCAGGGGAGATGAGAAAGATACCTTTAATTCACATACAAGATGAAGGAGGTTGACAAGGATCTGCAGAAGGAAGATATACATATGTAAATAAGTGAGCAGAATGAACAGACCTCTGGGTACTAGAGGTCTGTGCAACTCTTGAGAATTTTGTCCTTTCCATTTTCACAAGTAGGTCATAGAAAGTTGCTGAAGGGGTCAGCTTTCAGCTTGATATAACTCAATATAACTGATTCTAATGTTTTTTTTAAGTCATAAAAGGTGATTTCCTTTAGGTCTTCATCCTAAAGGCAATATTTCCAAAACCCTGGATACGTAAAAAATGCATACTGAAGTGATTCCTAATACTCAGGACCTTAATGTGACTGCTCTCAGTCGTTTTTACAAGATGATGATGAACAAGCACTCCAATTCCCACTACTTTTCCCCAGTATAGGAAAGTAGGGGTATATAGCATTATAGCTGTGAAGTATCAATAGAGAAGCATAGAAAGCTAGAAGTTTCCTGAGTATGTACTTCTCTGGTATGTAGAGCTAAAGGAAACTGTCTGCAAGGGGGATATCCCTGCTGACAGCTCAGGCTAGCCCAACCCCACTTTTACAATGCAAACACAGTCATGCAAAGTCCTCTTCTTAGCCCAAGGTGCAGGGCTGACAGATGAGAGGGACACCAACGCTTTCCAGGTGCACTGCATGGTTTACTTCATGGACTGCTGTCTGTCAAGGGCTTCCGTGGGAATGGGGCATGAAAAGATCAACTGCTACAGTATCCTCCACCATCAGTGTCCTGCTTGGAACTCCCTAAGGCCAACAGGAACCCTTTGGGTGAGTATGAGATGCTCAAAGGGTAATCCTTTCTTCCTCTTCAGTCAAAGGGAAAGGGCAAATTAACATGGAGAACAACTTAAGGAGAGATGTCACCCCTCAGAGACTGGGGACCTCTGTAGGGGAAGAGGGATGCTGGTTGGGTTGTAAGACCAGTGGGATAAGGACAGGGCTACTGTAACATCTATTACCACCGAAGATGAGTTAGTGCCCTGAGGAGGGACATCTCTAATGCAAACTCAGATGATCAACATCAGGATCATAGTCTTGAGGGACTCTGGACCCTGTATTGTATCAAGGAGCAGAGCTGAAGACCAGCCTGGCAAGGGAACAGCACAAACGAGCACTAAGTGTTACCTCAGCATGACCAACCCCTGAGGTTTAATCGATGTCACGCAGCAGTCGTCTCAGAGTATCAAGGGATTAGTTTAAAAGCCATGAGGTATTTTCCAAAGAGGTTATGACATTTATTATATGCTATCTCTCTGTCCATTAGGCTGATCCACAGGTACTAAAAGAAAGAAGTGGATCTAAAAATAGTACTTGGTTCACAGGCTGCACAGAAATGCAGCTCTGCCTACGCTTCCCTTGGAGCTAGCAGTGCCCTCCCGTAGTGCTCAGCACTTCCCTGGAAGCAGTATTGCTGCCCATCTCCCCAGTCTACTCAATGATACAAGCTGCATCTTACTACATTATGGAGACCCGTTTCACAGTAACATCCTCCAAAGTCAGAGCAGCCTTGCCAAAGTTCCCATGTGGTTTCAGCCTGCCTCTGATGGCCCTCTCCGTGCCTTGCCAGAAACACATAAGTAGACCACGGCCCATACTTGCTAACCCTCCCTCCATCATCTCTTCACTGCTGAGCTTTGCTTATGTGTGTGTGCATGCAGCTGTCACTGTCCTCATGGGCTTCTGCCACCAGCTTTCCCATTATCCCTTTTGCTTCTCCTATTCCAAGGAACAAAGATTTTCCCTCTAATTCTGCTCTATGGGGCAGCATGAACGATAGTGTTAACCGAACAAAACTCTGACCTTTTCATTTTATGGAAGTCCTTAGACCCAGGGCATTATTCCTGTGAATCTTTCTTTCTCTGGAGTATGCAAGTCTGTGGACATGAAAGTACATACTTGGGGACACACATTGTTTCCTGCTACAGGGAAGGAGTAGCAATACAGGGTGGGGATGCTGAGTGTGAGGGTACAGAAATGACATCCACACCTCCCCAGACAACAGCCACTTTGCAGCAAGTCCTCTCCTGTCTTCCCACAAGCATCCCACATCCCACAGTGGGTGGTACCCCATGGTGAGGAAGAGACATGTCTATACAGAATGGTGAGTTGATGTTTCCAACAATGCTGCTTTGGTGGGATGTGGTAGTCTCCAAGAGGGAAAGAGGAGATTAACCATGAATAGAAATGCCATGTGCTCCCAGGGCAATTTTTCTAAGTTGTTTAATGCAAATAAACAAACCCACAGCAAACTTAAAGGTGGCCCAAAGCCTGGCCACAGCTATGAAAGCAGTAGGCTTAGGAATCAGTTTGCTTCCAGAGCTGCTAAAGGTTTGGAGAAATTAACTACAGTATGTTGATGTGAAGACTTATGGGAGGATCAAGGAGATATAAAAATGAAAGAGTCAACAATATCAGAGCATGACATGAGATAGTGAAGTATTTTATTTCTATTGCTTTCAGTATTATCTCTTGGTTAGCAGGAAATAATTTGAGCAGGGAGACTGCATAGCAGAGGTACGGAAAATAGATGTGATCATTTTCCACAGAAGCAATGAGCACCACTCTAGATATTTTATAACTTGCTAGTGTTTTATGTCATTTCTTCAGACATCTGTGCATTAGAGTGACTGGGAACTGCAAATGATGTATAGTTAAGATATCCCCCTATAATTAAGCTGAAATAATGCTGGATTATTCTAGCATAATTATAGGGGGCTATTTTAACTATTAGCTCATTAAAAAGATATGATGCAAATATAACTCTGAAAGAGACAAAAAAATCAGGGTATATGAACAAAATGTCAGTGGTCCTCTGCTGAGACCAGATGGAGAGGTATAACTATATTCAATTTATCAGTCAATATATTTAATTATAGCCAGGCTTGGATGGAGCCTACAATGGCCTTTTATTATATTTAGTGTTTGCAGATGGATGTGGTGATTCAGAAATGCTTGGGAAGGGAACATGGTACCTATGCAAAAGACTTTAGCTGAATTTGGTTTGGATTTCACAAGAAACCCTGCCACATGCTCCTCTCTAGATGGGAGCTGTCCTTTTGCCCACCTTGCACTTCAGGTGTGGCGCACAGGGTTGCAAAATCTGATATAGAAGCGATATTTCGGTCCCACAACAAGGCTGGTCCCAAAAAGCATGCAAGCAGCTGCAGCCGTCACAAGCACAGCCAGAGCACAAGGCACTCCTCTGTGTCTAATCTGCTTGGGGTCAGAATTGGTCAAGTGTTATGGAGCAGCAGCGTTTGGGTAACAAAGGGGAAGCAGTATGCTTGGCTAGTCCAGTCTCTGACAAAGGGCATCCTATAAAGGGAGCTGCCTGCCCTCGCGTGCTCTGTTCCAGAGGAGAGAAAGTTATTCTCCATCTTGTTATGGAGGGAGTCCCCATCTCCCTCTCTCCCATGAAGGACCCCATGGGGGCTGAGGGACCCCAGGCAGCTGGAGGGAGGAGCTGTTGCCCTGCTCCCCATACTCGTTTGAACCCCAGCTTGGCTGTGCTAAACAGAAAAAATTGTCCTGGGACAAGACCCTAATCCCACTGTGCTTATGAAAATAAGGGTGTCTCTTGCCTGGCCCTGCATATAGAGTGGGATGCAGCTGGGGCACAGTCTAACCAACCATTGAAACTTCATATTTTGGGCTTTCTGAGACCTGCAGGATCCTTACCTCCAGAGAAGGGGATCTGTGCTTGTGAGGATCAGTCCCTGGCCTGTCATTAGGGCATCGTTTCATAAGGGTCAGGTTTTCCCTCCCAGTTCAACTGCTGCTGCTGCCTTGCTCAAAGTGA